AGAGGTTAAAAGTTAGAGACTCAAAAGCTTGAGGGTAAAAAACAGAAAGAAAATGTGTACATGGAGAGAGTGGATATTGATAGCACTGTTCATTTATAATAGATGTGTACTGTGTACTTTTTAGACTAAAGGAGTTTTTACTGTTACAGTGAAACCTAGAAATAACAACTACCCCTGACAAGTTTTCATCCCACCAAACCAAACAGACGTAAAATAAAAGATAAAGGAATACAATTTCAATTTTTTTTCAATAGTTAAGAATGAACATTTCTGCTTGGAACATGACTGCCGCATCTCTCCTCTGTACAACAGAAAATGAGATAAAAGGGTAGCCCTACATGCCCTCTGAAATTCTGTTTCTGAAATCCCTGTCTTGTTGCCAAGTATTAGAACTTTCTCTGGGCTATGACATATTCCTAAGTAGGTGCATGCAGTGCATTAAAGTATCAGTGAGTACACCCCCACCGCATACAGTTGTCCTTCAGTTAAAAATCAATACACAAGGAAGTCCTAGGCATATATACAAAGTCACCTTAGGGATGAGAATAACAGAGTAAGATGTAGCTGTATACGTATAATATAATAATAATTGATGCTAATAAAAGTCTTTTGATCCAAACAGAGTGTGATGGCTAGAAAACAGAAGGACGAAAAAGAAGTATTGGCAGTGTCTACTTAAATATCCACCACCATAACAAGGATAACCTAACTTACTGCTACTGATCATTTAGACTCATAATTATTCCTCTTGTAGGAAAACAAAAATATGAGATTAAGATGTAGGAAGAAAATATCAAGCCTCTATTTGAGACCAGGATACAAAGAGCAATCACAGGGGCCGGAAAAAATGTGAGAGGATTAGGGGCTCTTGGGATACTGAGGCCGGAAACAGTAGTGAAGTAAGAATTAAAAGTAGATATAACAGAAGCTTCCTTTCTTTATTCCTATGAGTCAATTAAAACAGGATGGTAGGTTCCATTACAGGTTATTTTTCTCCCAGCTTCTTACTCTCTCTCACCTATTCCTTCCTCTCCTTTTCCCATCATTTCTTCCAATGATACTATGGTAGAGAAGTAATACAAGAGGGAAAATATTAACAGACAATAGTGAAACACAACACATACAAACAATGGTAATGCAAGGGAAAGGGAGAAATAAGGAGAAAGGAAATAGTACCAGCATATGCAGTAAGAAAAGAGAAAATCTGCAGCCGGCTGGCTGTGGGGACCCTTCCTATGTAAAGAATGCACATGATCTGGTCAGATTAATTACAAGTTTTTTATTCAACTAGATTTTATGATAAATTTTTGGTCTTTTTTTTCCTACCAAGGGCAAAATTTGTTCTAGTACTCAAAAAATCTGATAGATCCTGCGAAAATGTGTTAAGGAAGCATAATTCAAACTTGGGATTCAGAAGCCATGAAGGGAAGACTAACACCCACGTTCAACTTGTGGAAGTTTGCATAGTCCATCAGGAAGATTTCCCCTTTGTCCAGCAATAGCAAGCTGCCCTTATCAAAAAACAATCCAAGAAATCTGTCCACACTGCTCCTGAGCACTTTAAATTATCTAAAGGACTATATGAAGTCTCCTAAATGGGCTATATTCAGCTACCCCCATCTCATGAATACAAATATGCCTTGGTCATGATTTGCAAGTTTTCCCACTAGTTTGAAGCCTTTCCATGTAGACAAGCTACTACCTCAGTAGCTAATATCTTATTGAAACAAAATCATCCCTATCTGGGGAACTCTATCTGAGCTCCACAGTGACTGGGAAACCCATTATGCTGGTCAAATATCGGAGCAAGTCTATGCTGTTTGGCCACTTCTACAGCATTTTCACTGCTATCATCCTCATTGTTCAGAACTAGTAAAATAAACCAACTGCATCATCAAAACTCAACTGGCAAAATTTGTGGAAACCTTTCAACTAACTACCTTGTTGGACAAGAGTAGCACTGATGGTCCTTCCAAATCTCAGATCCACTCCCTTTGGAACTCATAAGCTCTCACTCCTTGAGATAATTGCTAGGTGCTCTATACCTCTAGCTTCCATCTCTTGACCTACACCTAATAAAAGGAGCTATGCTTCAACATTGCAAAGGCCCAATTACATCCCTCAAAAATAATCATGCTCTAGTAGAGCAATCTTTTCACAGCACAATCTTGGGAGATGAAGACGATTCGTTACATACTTACGTTAACTTGGTGGAAGGAGATCAGCAAATAAGGACAATTCTTTTTTCTTTAAAATTCCAAATAGTTATTGTTTTAACTAAAAAAGACCAGGGGCAAGTGGCCTACAGAGATGCAGGAGGATTGGAAAACAGGATTGGAGAAGAGGGTTTGTCATTGCCAGGTGATAGGAATAAAGGTTGCCTTCTTTTAAACACTATTCAGCGATTAAAGCTATATGTGTACCTTTCTTACCTTGTTTTCTGTTATAATCTCCTTAAAGGAAAAGCCCCCTGCTCCCCTTTTTGACTTTTTACTATTTTAAAATCACCCACTCATCAGCATAGTATCCTGTACATGTATGTTTGTTAAGTTAAATTATTAACTAAAAGATGGGATATAATACCTGAGTTATATCGAATGGCTTCTACATGCTGAGCACTATTCTAGGGACTAAGGATAGAAAAACATTTAAAAAAAATGGATTAACAAATTTTAAATTCTTGTCCCCACAGAACTCACCTTCTAGTGGAACAAAATAATATATTCAGTCTAATACTTCCATTTAAACATTTATCATGTGCTATGCCTTGAATAGAAATAACCTGTTTGGTGCTTGACAATTGGATTTTCATACATGTTAAATGATTTCTATCTCAGAATGCCCCTTCTCCCACCTCTACAGTTATAAACAGACTACTACAGTGAAACAATTTCCTACTGAATAAAGTGGGAACCTCAGAGATGTAAGTGCTTGTGGTTCCAACCACACAAAACTTAGAAATGCTAAAATATGACAGAAAGTTCAATTTCAATATAAACATATACTATGCTCTCATGATTCTAAATTGTATTATGAAGTGGACTTCTCAAATTCACAATCATTTCCTTAAGACTAATGTCCTTTTAAAACCCAGAGCTTAAGGGGCCCCTGGGTAGCTCAGTTGTTAGAGCAACTGATTCTTAATTTCAGCTCAGGTCATGATCCCAAGGTTGTGTGGTCCAGTTAAGTGCTGAGCATCAAGCCTGCTTGGGATTCTCTCTCTCTGCCTCTCTTCCCCCCTAGCTCCTGCTCCCTCTCTAAAATAAAAATAAATAAGTAAAATGAAAATAAAACCTAGAGCTTAAAAGAGTCAAGTATTACATCTAACCATATGTATTAGATAATCAAAAGGGAAAACAAAACTTAATTGGCACAGTATACAAAATTTTAGAGATATAATTTAGAATTCAATAAAGAGGAAAATATGCTACATGGGTTTTTCTTTTTTGAATGACAACGTTGGAATCTTGTGTTAACAGGTTGGCAAAGTATTTTCTAAAGCATTATCTCAAGGTTTTATCCATCCGAATTGATTTCAATAAGAATGGCTTTCAATAATGAATTATTACTTGATTTTACAACGGAAAAAACAATCTGTAACTTATTTACAACAGATTCAGCATCTATAAGCATCAGGCGAATGAAAGATATCACAGGTACTTCTCAGACTATTCCTATCAATTTGGTTTTTCCTGAAGATCCAAGTTGGCCTCTGTCCTACCTGAGTTATTTCTGGCCACTGTGCCTTTTTCCCCGTAGACTCAAAATTTCACTCCTATCCTCCAGCCCCTGCACTGCGCAGGTACTCTTTCTAAGGTTTAATAATGAACTTTGCTGTTGGCAATTATTAAGAAATTGACAAGACATAAAGAACAGAAGCTACAAAAGTAAAGCTATCATAATAAAAATTATCCTTATAATTTATGTAAAAATGGACAAGATCGATTAGCTCTTCTGTTGGTCTTTTTAATTCTAGTCTTAAAATCTTTTTTTTAACTTTTAATTTTTATTTTAGAAGAGAGGGAGCACGTTGGGAGAGGAAAGGGATGGGTTGGGAGGGCGTGGAGACGAGAGAACAAGCATGAATCTTGAGTAGACTCCACCCTCAGTGCGAGCCCAAAGGTGGGGTGGGCGCGACGGGCGCGGGGGTGGGGCGGGGGGGCGGTGCTGGATACCGTTAAGTCTGGGATCAGGACCTGAGCCAAAAGCAGGAGCTGGCACTCAGCAGGCATCCAGGCACCCCTTCAATTCTAGTCTTATTTTGCCTAATCTCTTATTATTCAATAAGACTACTGCATTTTGGTTTTTCTCATCAAGTTTCTACTCTACAACCTTCCCTGTCTGAGACAGAGATAGGTCCGTAGAGATAGTTAACCTAGTTTCAAGGAAGACACTCATTTAAAACTTAGAATACTAACTCCAGGCCATCATTTCACATTCTCATTTTATTTTAAAAATTCCAAAAACGTCATTTTGTCTTCGATATCTTCAAATTACTTTCCACAAAAAGAACACTCTGTAAATCTCATAATGCGACGTACTTGCTCTTGTTAGAAGGGACTGAGAAAAGCTGCCTTCAAAGGCGGGAAACATCAAGTGCTAACTTGAACTTCTAAAGAACGAGATAAAAGACCTTCATAATTTGCAGAAGGCGAGGTGGGGTTTGGCAGAAAGAAACCCCCTTCTCAATAGAGAGGTCGCAAACCCCTGGCCCACGGTTGAAGCAGAAGTGCTCCGGACATTCCCCCCCAGGAAAGCGGCTTGATGCTCCCCAGCTTCCCAGGAAACCGCCATGGAAGGCAGGCCCGGCATCCTCAGCGGAGAGTTATCTCACGTCCGGGCCCGCAAGCTCAGCAAGTCCGTCATAAACACGATAGACGGAGATAGAATCGTGGCCGAGGAGGTGGGTCACACAACTGTCAAACGAAGCCCTCCCACCACTCCAGCGGTCCCTAAGGATACGAGCCTTGCAGACGCGGAACACTCACCCGTTGCCTCGGGATCGCGACTACAACTCCCAGGAGATTGCGCGGCCGAAGGAGCAGCGTCCTTCCCAGAATGCAACAGAACGGGGATCCCACCCCTCCTCCTGTCTCCGCTCCTCCCACCTTTCTACCCGGCGTCACCCGGGAGAACCGGAGGTAGGGTGCTGGAGGGGACCTCCAGCCCTCGGCGTGATTCGTCAGACGTTGGGAGGAGGACGGGGCGGGGAGCAGGGGGAGAATGGGAGGACGAAGGGGAGGGGAAAGGGGAGGGGAGGGGAGGGTAAATAGTGGGCCAGGCAGGAAGATGGCGGCGGTAGCGGAGGTGTGAGTGGATCCGAGTCTCTGCAGCTGGGTTTTCTCTTCCCTTTCCTTTTCCTTCTCTGAGATTGGCATCGAGGGGGCTCAGTTCGGGTGGTGGCGCCGCGCGCAGCGCAAGGGTCACTGCGACGGCGGCGGCGGACGGCTGGAAGGGCAGGCTTCCTTCGCCGCTTGTCCTCCTTCCCCGGTCCGCTCGGTGTCAGGCGCGGCGGAGGCGGCGCAGCGGCCGGACTTCGTCCCTCCTCCAGCTCCCCCCGGCGCCGGAGCGGGCACTCTTCCCTTCGCCATCTCCCGACCCTTCACCCCGGCTACTGGGCGCCTCCTCCGGCGCAGCTCAGGGAGCGGGGGCCGGTCTCCCGCTCGGCTGTCGCGCCTCCATGTCGGATAACCAGAGCTGGAACTCGTCGGGCTCGGAGGAGGATCCGGAGACGGAGTCTGGGCCGCCTGTGGAGCGCTGCGGAGTCCTCAGCAAGGTGAGCAGCCCGCGCGTCGGAGGGCCTCCTGCTCAGACTTCACCTGCGGTGAGGCGAGCCGCTGAGGGGATGGGGTGGGGTTGGGCGGGAGTCGCGGAATGTGCCTGGGTGCGGGGCTCAGTACTGCCGCAGGAGTGCCCGGGCCGGGGTGAGGGTGAGGAGAGGGAGAAGGGGTCTGTCCTGCTCGCCTGCCTTGGGGCTCGGCGGCGGTGGCCGAAGACCGCAGAAAACGCGTCCTAGCCCGGGATTCAGTTTTGGGAGCCGCATGCGTATCGTGACTTGGGACTTAGAGCGGCTACAGGAGCCCGGGCTGGGCGACAGCAGTGTTTGAGTGCCTGGGTATGGGAGCATTGCGGATCGGACCCCGAAAACGAGGTTAGTTCGGAGATAGAGAGCAGGGTTGGAGGATTCTCGGAACGCGGCTGTATAGACAGTTGCCGGAGCAACTGGGTATGGTGCGGGAAACTGAGACGGTAAACTGTGCCAAGTTAGAGTGAGAGATCTCAGGGAGGAGGACTTTTGTACTTTTTCCCTCATCCTATTCCCCAGTTCAGAAAAGAACTGTCGAATCAGCACGTGATAAGTACAAGAAATAGTCCAAGTAACTTGGAACAAGCCAGAATAGAGGCCAACCTTTATTTAGTCCAGGAAGAACACTAATAATAAAATATTCTTGCAAAGGGCCAGAGTAAGGAAAACACATCTTACCTTTACTGAAAATTTTAAATACCCTTTTTCAAAACTTTACCAGAGCAGATAGTTGTAGGACTGTAAGGCTATTTAATTAGTTAAATTGGATGAGGCCCTTTTTAAGAGAGATGGTTCATCTTTTCTTTTGATAGTACATGATGGGGGGGGGGTATTTGCTAGTTTATTCGTTCAGAGTTTTTGCTTAAGAAGATACACATTGCCTTTATTACTTCCTTCCCTCTTCCTGTTAAAGTTTTAGAAATGGCCAGTCCCTCAGCAAGCTGGTCATAAGATACATGATCATGTGCAGCCTACTGGCCATTAAGAAACCATGCTGCTTTCAGTATACATACTTTGGCTAAGCATTTGAACATTTACTGTGGACTTGTTTCATATTATTTTTCTGTTGTGTTTAGAAGGCTGGTGAGAAAGGCCTTAGGTAAGACAGGAGTCTGTCCGAACTAAGACTTGTGTTAGCTTTTATTTATGCAGAAAAATCATGATGTATGTTGGAACTGTGATCATTGGCATTGCAGTGAACCTCCCTAGGGTTGGTGGGTTGGTTGGTTGTTTTTTAGATTAAATAGATCTTGTAATTTAGGAATCTCTCGAACACATTGTGTAGTAAGATATACATTTTCAGGTGGAATTTTAGATGGAATTTGCTTCTCAATTCTGGTAGATTCATCACTTTTCTCATTAAATGAGAAGCAGACTTCCAAATTAGTACTCTGGTAATGGTATTTTTTTAAAACAGGTTGAAGTTTTGACCTATTTGATACCACTATTTTGGGGGGCGGGAGAAGTGACTGGTGGAAAGAGTCCCCAACGCTCTGAGTATTCACTATATGTAGAGAAGTATAATAGGCATACCATATGACAAAAAAATGGAAGACTATCTCTTTGATATTTAAATGTGGACAAATGTACTTTTTGATCACTTTTCTGGTAGATAAATAACTTTGATAAAGCTGCATATGTAGACTCAGCAGGAATATAGTTTTTGGTATTTTTCTTAACAGCTATGAAGAAAATTTCCCTGAAATTCAGCATATGGTTATATAAAATGATTTCTGGAAGCTTTTTAATCAGGAGTATTTTATATTGAATATGTGTTTTAAAGTTTAAAGTACTTCTATATTTTGATCCGTTTGTAATCACTTGGCAATATATACAAGAGTTAGAATTCAGCAACTCTTCTTTTTTTTCAATTGAGTAATGTAGATAAGTGTCTAATTTGTGTCGTTTCTTCCCTTCCAAAATTGAGTGGAGTGAAGGGAGGGGATAAGCTTATATTAGAAATATACCAGTCTAAAGTTTTATTTTGCATATGATAATTTCAAACACATGGAAATACCTATGAAGCATATTTTCTGTAGAATCACTTAAGCACATAGGTTCCAAAAACACTGGATAGACCATAATTCTAGGTGGTTATAACAAATACCAGGGTGGATCGTTGATGAGAAAAGATTCATGCCTTAGTGGGAATTGAGAGCAACTAAGCCTGGATAAAATAAATGTCATCTAACTTCTTATGAATTCTCTCTATCCACCAAGGTTTACCTTATCTATTTCCCCACATTCCTACCTGTTGGCTGAAATTGTGTCCACCTTTAGAGTTTATCTCAAAAACTGTTATTACCAGAAAGCCTTTTCTTATTTTGCTAACCATTTCAGATCTCGTTACCTTGAGTTCCCATGTTACTTTATTTGTAACTTGTTCTGACTCTTAAATAAATTTTTTTTCCTCTTGAAATTGTGCTTGCTGGACTATTAGGAACAGAAATCTTTGATTCGCCTACTTTGTCTATTTGTTAGATGGGGAGAAGTGAAGAAATGTTATGAGAAAATCAAAAATCTACCTTCTAGTTTTGATAGTAGGAGCTAACATTTACTGTGTAAAGGGTCCTGAAGCTTATGTAATTTAACGGGTCATCCTCTACAAAAAAGTATAAAATTATGGTACACAATTGCTGGGGCCCATTCTGTCACTCTGGAAGAGGTTTGTTCTAGTGAACTGCACTGAAGCTTAAGCCTTATTAGCTCTGCATAACCCTGTCTCCAGCTGAGAAAATACTATGTGCCTGGCAGTATTCTAAGATTTTTCTTGTTTAATCTTGACAACTTTAAGAGGTAAGGTTTGACAAAGAAACAATAAGTAATTTGACCACAGTCACACAGTTACTAGCCTTCTGAGGGGCAGCAATTGGAATAAGGCAGGGTTAAGATATGCCAGTCTAAATAATTTCTATTACAGACAACAGGGATTGTCCATGTAAGCTTTGAAGCCAGAGGTTCATTGAGATTAGTATGTAAGATAAGTAAGCCTGTGTGCTTAATAAGCAAATAAGATTATGTAAGTTACGAAATAAAATGCAGAAGATATTAGAGATAAGGTTATTAAGGCCTATCTAGAGGTAGGCCTTCTCAAGAGCTAGTAACCTGATTATCATTGTATTAATTGAAAATAGAGAAGAAGAGCCAAATTTAAGGGTTTTATATGAAGGAAAGATGAATAGGAGTTGATGATAGGCTATAAAGATTGACAAGGAACAGTATCTCTTACAACTGCAGTAGAGGTATTCATGATTTTTCTCAGATGTTCAAATAATAGGCAAAGAAACTAAAGCACAGAAAAGTTAACTAACTTGTCAAAACTCATCACACAACTAGTAGACTCTATCTGAGTCTTTATATACTCTTCTGTCCATGCAGTACAGGATCTCTGAGCCAGGTTTGAATATGAATCAGGCAGCAGAACTACCAGTATAGCCAAGGAAGTAGGAACATAAAAGGAAAGTACACCTTATAAGAGGAGGTGAGTTCAATTTTGTATGTAACTATCATTATTTTGAGTCATTGTGGAAGTTGATGGTAAGTTATAGGGAATTAGAAATATGGAAATGGTGATTAGGGAGCTCAGAAGAAAGAATGAATTAAATTGCCAACATGGTTAAGCTCCCAGGGAGGGGTTGTAATGATGAGCCTTAGAAGATTTAAGAGCTGAACTGTCTCAAACATGCTGAGTAGGAAATGGAAAAATAAAGATTTCTCAATGGGTAAAGAGCCTGAGCCAATGCAGTATATTTTTAACAGCCCATTTTGAATTAGTTTTTGGCAGATAGTGTTGGAGTTAGATAGTTTTTGGAATTGTCTTTACGTACATAAAATCCCCAGAGCATAAAAAAATGCAAAATCAAGAATTCCCATGGAGGTTACATTTCTGCCTTTGCAAGTTTATTGATTGTGATCTGTAGTGTGCAGTAAGACTTTAGCAACACAGAAACCATTTGTAGGTACTAGAAACTGATAATCCAAGTATGTTTTTGAAAAGTAATTGTTTAAATACGCAATGTATTACTGCTCTTGGATTGAATAAATAGATCTTCTGAGAAACTTGGAAAATTAATTAACTTTTAAATATGTAGCATTGGGTTCTGTGGGGGAAATAGTAAATTTGATACAGACTTCTAAAGATTAATGATCTAGTATTTTTACTTTGACGTTTAGTTGTAAATATCATATATGTTAATATATTAGTAACTTACAACCAAAAGTAGAATTTGGCCATGATTAGCTTCATACTTCTATTGATTTAGAAAGCTTCATGCAGAACTTGGTGTAGGAGAATGAGAGGCTACACATCCAGACTTTTCTGTTGAATATGTTAATTATGGCAGGGACCAAAACAATTCAAGTCTCATGGAGTTGGTGAGGAGGGAAGAATGAAACACACAAAGAAAAAGCAGAATTTTTAACTTTTATTCCTCAAATATTAAATGGGAGAAAATATAATAGTTATTTGTAATTTTGTAAAAATTGCTGAAAATCCTATCAATCTAGAAAATCACAACTTTTCACTTTCTAAAATCTTTTTTTTTTTTTTTTTAACATTTATTTATTATTTTGAGAGACTGAGCACAGGCTGGGGAAGGATAGAGAGAGAGACACACAGACAGAATCCAAAGCAGTCTTCAGGCTCTGAGCTGTCAGCACAGAATATCTTGTTTTATGAAGTACTAATTTCAGTCTTTTGGCTATTTATTTTTTTAAGTTTATTTTGAGAGAGAAAGAGCGTGCGTGCTAGAGCGCCTGCATGCAAGTGGGGAAGGGGCAAAGAGAGAGGGATAGAGAGAGTATCCCAAGCAGGCTCTGCACAGAACCCAACATGGGGCTTGAACCCACAGACCGGAGATCATGACCTGAGTTGAGGTCTGGTGCTTAACTGGCTGAGCCTCCCAGGCGCCCACAATAATCATTTTTTCTGCTTATAATTAAGTTAGAGCTTTTCACATTTTGGTTTTATTTATTTATTTTTTTTAAATTTATTTCTAGGAGAGAGAGAGAGAGACAGCGTGAGCAGGGGAGGGTCAGAGAGAGAGGGAGTCACAGACTGAAACAGGCTCCAGGCTCTGAGCTGGCAGTCAGCACAGAGCCCGACGCGGGGCTCGAACCCACGAACTGCGAGATCATGACCCAAGCGAAAGTCGGACGCTTAACCGACTAAGCCACCCAGGCGCCCCACATTTTGGTTTTAAATGAGATTGGTTGCTGTTTCAGAAAGTTTGGATTTCTAAAATACTGACTTTTATATTTTGTTTTTCTTTTCCCTCCTGCCCCAACCCCTTACCTCTAGTGGACAAACTACATTCATGGGTGGCAGGATCGTTGGGTAGTTTTAAAAAATAACACTCTGAGTTACTACAAATCTGAAGACGAGACAGAGTACGGCTGCAGAGGATCCATCTGTCTTAGCAAGGCTGTCATCACAGTAAGTTCCTATTCTTCATTCAACAAGTATTTATTGAGCATCAGCTATACTCTAGGAACTTGTTCTAAGTCCTTGGGATTTATCTGTGAACAAAACAGATAAAGGTCTTTGTCTCTGTGAAGCAGAGTCTAATACTTATTTCCATAAAAAGATTTTACAGTGTTTATTATTAGATACTGTTATTTTATAGAGACAGGTACTCTATATCTGGTTATAGCAAGCCGTTAAACAAGGGATACAGAAAAAATCATTTGAAGACTTCACATGTGATGAGATTCGTACAGTTACATGGTAGGTTATTGAAACAGTTAAAGCAGAAAACTAGGAAAAAAATGTATCTTAACATTTTAAAATTTTAACTTAAAATATGTAAATTTATATCCGTTTGCCAGCTTTTTGATGTAATGCTAACACCATCTCTTTGAATGTGAAATTGAGAGAACTACTTGTAAATATATCCATAATTCAGGATTTGCAATTTCCATTTTTGATTTCTCTAAAGTGGGATAAATGCTTAAAGATACTTTTGAAAAACCCTAAGTATAGGATCTTCTGACTTTTTATGTTTTCCTTAATATTTTACAGATGTCTCACCTTTGTCTAACTCAATACCTTTTTAAGGAATGACTCACCTTTATTGAGTCATTCTATTTAGTTTGCATTCAACTTAGTTTACATAGAAACAACCCTCTTTTTGCACTTGTATTCCATAGACTTATGTAATATTACTTAAAAGTTATGTAAGGACCACAAGTAAACTGGCATAAACAGGTTTGGGAACTACCAACTGATTTGTTAAACATAACTCGACCTTGGGATCAGAAGTGTCTAAATATACTAAAAATAGCCTACAAGTTGAGAGTAGTCAGTATGCCATGGCATATTTAATAAAAGTGAAAAAAAAGGTAGCCAAAACAGGTCATTTAAGGGAGCACTTGTACTTAAAATCTAGAAATGGGTATGTTAAAACTTAATCATAGATTATACTGATACTTACAAAAAGAATTCACATTATGATATACTTTATCTTGTGAAAGTAAAAACTATGCTTTGAATCTGTGTCGATTTCTAAATCTGACTTATATATGTGTATGTTACACATTTAAGGGAAATCTTACAGTAATTTTCTGTTTTTTTTCATACATTCTGCCCTTCATATATACTCAAAGTTTGAAAACAAACTTAGTTGAGTATTGAGTGGGAAAAACCTATAGAGGAATTGTTTGTAAGTGTTAAGAATGAAACTACTACTCTCCATTTTTAGGAACAATTTTAAAGAAATATTTTGAGTATATAAAAGCTCAATATTTATTTTGACTTGTATGTTGTACATTAGGGTGTATTTTGAAGTTGTTTTTAGTTTTGTATTTTGGGGTTTTATTTCCCTTGAGATAGATTATTGTTTATGCTAGAGGACAGAATAGTGGATAGAAACATGTTTTACAATCTTGAAATGTCTTTCCTCCATTCTTCTCTCCTTTTGTTTCTTGTCAGATGCTTATTAGCTAGTACACTTGACTCTGAAAATAAGCTGTTGGTTGATGTGAAAATGGGGAGGAATGAAACGTTATTGTTTACTAAAGTAGTAGTATTCCTAGAATACTATGCTTGTTTCTGTAGAGTTAAAGATAGTTTTGAGTTATGAATTATGGTAATAGTAAGTGGCTTATTTAAGGGAAAAATTTTTAATAAACAATTACATTGCATCTGCTCAGAAAAAAAGCAACCTGTTATTTCTTTGTAGTTTTGTTGTTGTTGTTATACCTGTACTTGCCTACGGATCTTTCATTGTGGTATCAGGTCAAAAAAATGGGTAGAAAAATGAAACAATTTGAAAGAGATGAGGAAGGAACCTAGTGGTATTCACTAAGCTAAGTACTGGTAGAGAAAGTTAAAAAGATGAACAAGGCAGCAGATTCTGAGTGGTAGTCTTAGAGACTGTGAAACAGGTGGTAAGGAGAAACAGGCATTTATATTCTTGAACCTCTTCAACTTTCAGTCTTTTCCTTGCCTATGTGTTCAAAGTTTCACTGTTGCATATATCAAGGAAATTATAAAATACAACTGAATTCAGTGAGCATCTCACAATGAGGTTTACAAATAGAATGTGTACTTGAGTTAAATAACAAAAATGGAATACTAATGATCTCTGTTAAGTAGGTATCCTTGGCTTTTCTTAAATATGGGCTATTATACGCATCACTTCACCTCTGAAGACAAAACATAATTGGCAGTGTTGGGGGTGCCTGGGTGGCTCAGTCAGTTAAGCATCTGACTTCGGCTCAGGTCATGATCTCACGGTTTGTGGGTTCGAGCCCTGTGTTAGGCTCTGTGCTGACGGCTCGGAGCCTGGAGCCTGTTTCAGATTCTGTATCTCCCTTTCTCTCTGACCCTCCCCTGCTCACACTGTCTCTCTCAGAAATAAATAAAACAGTAAAAAAATAATAATAATAATAATTGGCAGTGTTGAATTTGCCCACAGGGCACCTTATAAAATAGACAGTATTCATATGTGGAGAAATCTGGACTTGAATTGTGACTTTGCTGTAACCCTAACATACTACTTGTTGGTGAACTTACTGTCTGAGCCCACCTTTTCTGATAGAATCTAATTCATTGTTAAATTCACTCTTATTTTAGTTTAACAGTTAAGTCATTTTTAATTATTTTAATCATGTTCTTTAGCTTTGTGATAATGAATTGGGTGAAATACTTTCAAGGAATAAAATATTTCCTGGGAGAATTTGTTACTTGGAAATAATTCTTAATGTGAAGGGGTTGGAAATAGTGGGTGAGAAGAAAAGCAATACTTTTTCACTTTATGAAAAATGAACTATCTGTATGTAGGGTAAATGTTTGTAGAAAGATAAAGTTGAATTTCTGAATTATAATATTTTATTTATAGTTTATTTGCTTAGGATCCAGTCTTTGCTACAAAACTTGCCATAGTAGATGTTCAACATATGTTAATTGTATTTCTTCAGCCAAAAATGATGTTTATGGAATATTGAAACTGTTCTTTATTTTTAAAATTCTGTTTTTAATAAAACACTCATGATAAAAAGATGCAGCCTGTGGCATCAAAAGGTTTAAAAAGTGAATGTTTCTCTTTGCTCTTAGTCCTGCACTTGAGAAATAAAGTTAAATTTCTGATCTCTTCTTCCAAATAATTTGTATGCCCTGGCAAGCATTTGTTTGTTTATATCCTTCATTTTTATTTACACAGATAGTATCGTACTAAATCTATTGTTCTTTACCTTATTTTCTTTTAGTATGACTTGGATGTGCTAACTACTACATTCTGTTGAATTGTATAGATGTACCATATCTTGTTTATATGCCCCCTCCTTCTCTTTGGACATTTAGTACATACTTAATATTTTTGCTGCACATATTGTAGGAACAAACATTTATTTTAAAATTTATTTATAGTTACTGTCAAATGACTCTTTCAAAAGAGTGCCACTTTTCACTCTTACCAGTAATATGTGAGTGTCTCTATTTCCCCAAACCCTAAAGTATTGAGGAAGTTGGGTTTTGGGAAATGTTAAAATACTTGCCAATCTAATAGATAAAAATAGTATCTTAATATTTTAAGTTGCATTTTCTACTTATGAGATTGAGTAACTTTGCATGTTTATAGCTCATTTTATATTTCTTTTTCCTCCTCCAATCATTCATCTCTTGTTCTCTCTTTTCTTATTCATATATAGAAGCTCTTGATAACATGATAATTGGCATTTGTCATATTTGTTGCAAATATTTTCCCCACTTTGTCATTTGTGTATTCTTACCTTGTTTTAGAGTCTTCAGTAGCCTTCCAGAAATTAAAATTTTTACATACTTTATTGACCTTTCCATTATGGCTTCTCCATTTAGTTATGTTTTGATAGGTATTTCCCACTTCAAAGACTATAATAGAATGAGTAGCTATATTTACATGTAAAATTTGCCTTTGAATTTTATTCCTGTGGGAGTTACTTTAGCCTAAAGAGTGATGTGGGAATTTAGCTTTTTATTTTTTTTCAAATGACTATGTTTTCTTAGGCCATTAATTGAACAATTCACCTTTTTTTCCACTGGCTTGAAATGTCACCTTCATTATATATTCCCATGCGTATTTGTGATTGTTTCTACACTCTTTTCTGTTCATGTGATTTGTGTATTCTCTTTGTATCTATCGTGTTTAAAATTATATTACTAATATTTCATCAACCAACAATTCATGATCCTTTCATGAAGATAAAAGTGGTTTGTTTGCATTTATTGAGATAAGATATTTTGGGAGTGAGGTAGGTAAGAGATAATTGCCATAATAGAAATGGTAATATCTTTAGAATTGGTTTGCCTAAGATCTATAGTCCCTGGTCTCACCTTAGGTATCTGACTTCATGTACCTGAAGCTTTGAAGAGCTTCTTTAATTACCAAATAAATGAAATTCTCATTACTCTTCAAGATTGGTTATATGGAAATTTCTTCAACAATTTTATGGTTTAATATTTTCAGAAGGAAAACTGAGAGGTAGTGAAAGTATTTATCAATTAGATTTTTATTTTTTTTATTTATTATTATTATTATTTTTTTTGAGACAGAGAGCATGAGTTGGGGAGGGGCAGAGAGAGAGGGAGGCACAGAATCCAAAACAGGCTCTAGGCTCTGTCAGAGCTGTCAGCACAGAACCCATTGTGGGGCTCAAACCCATGAACTGTGAGATTATGACCTGAGCTGAAGTCAGATGCTTAACTGGCTGAGCCACCCAGGTGCCCCTAGATTTTTAAAAATTAAAGTCAGTGGCACCTGGGTGACTCAGTCACTTAAGTGTCCAACTTTGACTCAGCTCATGATCTCACAGTTGGTGAGTTTGAGCCCCATGTTGGGCTCTGTGCTGACAGGTCAGAGCCTAGAGCCTGCTTCAGATTCTGTGTCTCCTTCTCTCTCTGCCTCTCCCAGCTTGCCCTCGGTCTCTCTCTCTCTCAAAAATAAATAAATGTTAAAAAAA